AGACCACACCAAGATAACAAGAACATAGAAAAATACAAAGAAGTGACAATTAGATACATGTGATAATAACTTCCCAGCTCAGAAATATAGAGTGATTCATTGAAGTGATTTGTACATCTCTGTATTTATTAGAAACCTGAGGTGCTTGAGTTCCAGATTTAATGTATTCTCTGCGGGTTTCGAACCCACGCGCCTTGGTTTCCCACGCCAAGGCGCTACCGGGTGGCCGCATTAACCATTCGGCCACCGGGGTATAGTAGTTATATAATCTGATTATCACTGAACTTTCTCTGCTCTTTATCTTCTCTCATTGAATATAATTCTATATTAATAAATGATTAACTAAGTTGATTAAAAAAATTTTAATATTTCACTGAAAAGTTTTAAATTCTTCTAAGATATCTCACTGAAAAGTTGATATATTTACTAAAATTTAATACTACTTATCTTCATTTCTTTGAGAGTTCAGAACTTTTATATTTTAATTGTATTCAGTATTATCATTCTGCTGAATGAAAAGATGTATGATATTTTATTCTTTATTTTTATCACACTTACAATCATTCAATTCAAATTATCTTTGTTAAAAGAAAGAAAATACATTTATTTTATCTTCAAATATAGACACTGCTCTATTAACTGAATTTTCTTCTCATATATTTCTGCATCTAAATACTGAGTTCAGTGATGTCTTTTTAACAGACTACTTGATATCAGTGATGAGTTTAACTTCTTCTTATCTGACTGATATTTATTATTACTGTTATTATATTCATTCTATATTCAGATATATTAATATTGAATTTCTTTTAAAATCAGTGATTTGTCTTATTAAATCTATTAAATAAAAGAGTTCAGAGAGATCTAGTAGAGCAGAATTCATAATAATATTTATTTTCAGAATCTTGATAGAACTCTGATAAATTTATAATATGAATAGAAATATAATAATTTAATTCTTAATATTAAATTAATGTAGATTGTCACTGATTATGACTCTTATTAATATATTTCTTTTTAGTAATTCAATCTCATCTCTTTATTTTATCAAGATTATTTATTCACTTTATTTATATCTTTTCAACTATGTAACTTTTTTCTACAAATTATATTAGAAAGTAAAATATTATATCTGTTTAATTAAAATTTAAAACACTATCTATTATCTGTCTCTAGATAAGAATCTGAAGATAATCAATATCTCTCTTTCTCAGAAACTGTAAATGAAGATTTCACTGATAGTGATTCAGATATTAATACTCTCAGTGAAGAAGTATTACTATTCTCAGTAAGTTTATCACTTTTAATATCTCTATTATTATAAAAACTAACATTGTCTAAAGACAGAGTTATATAATGAGAATGCTACTGATAATATTGAGTATATTAAGTAACTTTTAAAAGCAGCTGCTGAGAAGAATATTTTTAAAAATAATAATTAAGAGAATTCTGATGAGTCAGTTACTAATAATATTAAAATATCAGCTACTGATACAATTACTGTTACTATTATTAATCAATTTATTGATTCTGATTTAGTAATTGATATATCTTATAAATACAGTAACTTTGAAATGAATTTATTTATTCTGACAATGAAACTCTGAGCTGAAGAGTTAGATATTTCTTAAAAAAACTATAAATCACTACTGCAAATTCTGTGTTTATTGAAGAATATATTATTAATAAGTCTGCTCTCTGAAGATCTATCAACTCTGAAAAAGTAATACAGAGTATAATTTCTAATTTTATCAGTTAAGAAAATCTCAATTTCAATAGTATTATTAATATAAATACTAACTCTGAGTTCTGCTTAGAAAAATCTCACTGAATTCTTTATAAGATTACTATACTTTTAAAATCTGATTCTCTTAATATCTACTCTTCTTAAATTCTCAACTTTTCAGTGATAAATGTATATAGAAATGACAGAAATTATCAATAATTTCACAGAGTTATGATAATCTCATAGTTAAGAGAGCTCTGTTAAATATTATTTCAGTAAATTTATCTAATATTTATTAATAAATAAACCTATTTTTTCTTCTGATTTTATTCAGTATCAGTGTGAAAATCTTGAATGCTACTGTAAATCAGAGTTGAATAATATATCTTATATTAAAAGAGTGTATTTTATTAGATATGATTACTGATATTCAGATATAAAATCTTATATAATAGTTCTGAAAGTTCAAGAAGCTATTCACTATACTCTACAGACTGTATAAAGATTACTGTTCTTAAATTCATTATTTAGTCTCTTTAAAATAATTATAATGAAGAATGAGATGAAATATATCTTAATTATTCAAGTTCTTAATCAACTTAATATTTATATAAATATAATATTTGAATTGAGTTCTGATTTATCAGTATATAAGAGTTAAGATCAGTATTTTCTTCACTGAGTTATAAGAACTAAAACTGAGATGATTAAGATATAACTATATTATAAATCTTCACTAATTCAGACTGAGTTGAAAATTATAGTATATAAATAAGATCTTTTGAAAAGTATATTTTACTCTGATATATAAGTTATTTCTCTATTATATCAATTATTTATTGATGAATTTAACTTATATCAGAATATATACTGAAGCTTGATAAGTTTTTATTTAATTTCTGTACTAAGTGTTATTAAGTACTCAAAGTAAAATAATATTTTTATTCTAATTTTTAATTCTTATAATATTAATTTTTCTGATATAGTTACTGCATTATTATATAACTTATCTATATTAAATTATAAGAGAGTTATAATAAATATTAATAAAAAAAAGATAAGAGTGATTGCATTTTATATTATATTTCTTAAAGATATATTACAGTAAAATAGTAATACAGAGATCAAAGAATTAACAGTAAGAAAATTATATTAAAACTGTTTTATTAATAATAAGAATCAATCAAATCTGAACTATAATCTATATAATAATAGCTGATTTCACTATTATATATAATATCTTCAGATTAAACTGAATGATCTGCTAAATTCTATATATAGAGATTAAATATATTAAGAGTAAGAAATAATATTACAGACTGTATCTCTTTTTCAGATATATTTAAGTTTAAATTTAATCTCTTTTTTCTCATCTAATTTATATTATAGTGAGTTCACTAATATATCAGAGATTTTACACTTATTGCTGATTAGTATTATTTTATCACTGTATAATCAGTTAAAATACTTTTAAATATTATAAATATTCTCTTTTTCTTACAGTTGAAATTGTCTGCAGTCACTGATTACTTATCTCAAGAAGTATCAGCTTTAAGAATATACTTAAGCTTTAATCATTATATCTCTTATCTTACAGTGTAAGCTTAAGAAGAAATGACTCAGTTCAGTAATTAAGTAGATTATTTCTATAGTATTTTCAGCATTAAATTAATCATCTATTAATCTTATTATTCAGATATATATAGTTATTATAAGAAGTAATAGTCTATTAATATCTTAATCTCTGAGAGAAAATAATTCTGAAGTAACTTATTAAATCATACTTACAGTCTATTAATAGCTATAATTTCTTATTAAAGTTATAATAAAAGTAATGATAATATTTAAATTATTCTGAGCTAATTCAGTTATTAGTTATCAGTCATCTTCTACTTTAACAATGAGTACAGTTACTATATATATCAGTAATTATATTAAAAAAGCAAAGCTTATATAATATATAAAGAATCAGCTGAATATATATATTAATTTATACTATATTAAGCTGATTAAAGAATACACTGTATCTAATAACTGCAATGTTCTGATAGAGAAGAATAAGTATTAAGATTATAAAAATCTAGTATAGTGAATAAATTATTAGAATATAAAGAAGATACTACTCTTATAAAAGAGCTTTCACTGTATTTTATAACTAGTATTAAGAGATTCTTTTAACAGATCTGACTTACATCTGATACAGAAGATTTAATAGCTATATACAGTTTATTCAGTATTATTCAATAATCTGTTAAGAATGAATAAAGAATTAGATAATAATAATAATTCACTGAACTACTTTATTAAGTTAAAGTTAATAAAAGATTATATTATTCTGAAGATTTTTAGTTATCTATTATTAAATAAGATATCAGAGAAAGTTAGTATATAATTTATAAATCTCTTAAAGCTTAAACTTCTTTATCTCTTTCTTAATAAGCTGTGAGAATTCTATAATATTAATTGAAATAAGCTCTTAGTTTTAAAACTAGATTATTATCTGATTCTTTTCTATAATAAGTTAACATTCTCAGTTCAGTATATTTATTAATCAATCAGTTATTGACTTATTACTAACTTATAAATTAGAAATTATGTTCACTGAATCTCTCTTATAAAAGAGAATATTATTTAATATTAAGAAGTAGAGCTTAACTGAATTATAATTATATTTATTTATAAAATGAGAGAAGTTAAGTAAATTTTCTTTATACTTATTTCTCTATATTATATCATACATGATTATCTACTGAATCTACTGATTTTATAAGAGAATTCTGATAATTACACTATTATTGAACTGCTGATAATTTAAAAGACAGTATTATATAATATTCTGATACAGAATAGTGATAAAAATAATGATTATTTAATATATAAGTCTCAGATAACAAGATATTTGTATTATAATTAAAATATCTTATTTCTTTAAATAGAATAGATAGTTAATGAATAGCAGTCATTGTACTGAGTAATAGATAACTAACTAGCTTAATAGTATTAATTTCACTGACAGAACAGTATACAGTGTCTCATAGTATCTTAGTAGTATTCTGATTATAATATCTGTCAATTACACAGTTACTGAGTAGTATCATGATAATGTTAGGAAGTTCTGTGCTGTCTCAATGCCATCTTGATATTTAATATTCAGCAACATGTCACTGAATATAATGGTGGAACATGTGTTACAATCGGCGACACGTGACACGGGTGGAATGGTGGATCCACGGTGTAATCACCGTAAATTAACCCTACGTTCTTCCGGTAAGGCTGGGCGCGAGCAAACGAGCAGCTACAATTGATTGGGGAAAGAATTGTAAGAGGAAGTTGTGAAAAGAAGGGGGAAATAATACATACAATTGTTCAAGCATAAGTTTAATAAAAAAGAATGAGAGTGGCATGTTTCAAGTACAACAGATAATAGCACACTATGTTAGATGTAATTCATGTACAGACTCAAAAGTGAAAGATTCTCATGATTGAAAAGTAAGAATAAGTTAAAATGACAAATAATACAAAAGATAAGAATATCATTTCAGAAAAGAAAGAAAAAAAAAACTCAAAAACTAGTAGCAAAAGAGTGATCAACAGTCAACAAAACACAAACTTCCCCCTCTCATTCAATACCTATGTGCCTGTGTGCCTTTTTTATTTTTTTTATTTTTATCAATTCGCTCTTTTCTCCCCTCTCTGTGAGTCCTTCAAAAGAAAGTAGCGACATCTGCTTACTTGCTTTGCGAATATGGAACGATGGATATTTTGAGTGAATGTCAATGCCAACACCAGCAAGTACCATGAATAGAAATAAGAAGCAGAAAGAGCGCTATCTTTTCCAGACTCAAATGTGACTTTTCCAAGGCACGAGCGGGAAATATATGGAGAAGGGTAAAATTTTATAAGGGCGAATAAATGAGACCGAGGGCGAGGGAAGCAGAAAGAAAAAATTAGCAGTCAAATAAACATTAAAGACATAAGAGGCGTGGATAAGAAGAATATGCTGAATTTTAAACTCGCTTGCGACAAAAAAAAAGTTGACAAAAACGCTCACGACGGAAATATCTCAAGGGATGTATGACTACTAAGAACACATCATGGTCGAAAAGGAGGAAAAGAGAAGCAACAGAGGCAACGAAGGCAGAGAGGAAATTTGGCACGCTTAACAAGGGAAAAACAACACCAAAGCCGGGATAAGGAAAAGGAAAATGAGAAAAAAAATTATTCCAGAAACACCCCAAGATATCAAAAATGTCACAAAGGGGGGATATATTAGTGTAATGAAACAATCACAAGAACGGTACAAAATCTGCCATTGCCAGCAGGTAAAAGGGAGGTAGGATACTCAATACTTAATCCCCGCTCACTTCTTAAACATATAATGCCCATACAGCCCCCCAACATCCCCCACCGCAACCGGGATCTTCCTCATTCCCCACCAGCGTGCCCCCATCTTCCACGACCGACGCCCATCATCCGGCTTCACGGTCGGCTTACCCTGTCGCGTTCCCAACGCCGGTTCCCGCACATACCATCCCCGCCGCCCCAAGTCTCGCACTAGCCATCCATTCCCATATTTATTCGCCCGGCTGCGCTGGCGGAGCGGGCTGATGATTTTTTCGCTAAGTTCGATTACATCAAGCGGCGCGCTGTGTGGGGTGACGAGGAGGCAGGCTTTGGGGTTTAGGAGGGCAGCTTGGGTGACGTGGGGGTTCCTGGTGAGATCTATGTAGCGGAGCTGGGATGGGATCCAGGCCCGGCGTGTGCTTGGGTTGACGCCGTTGGTGTTGGTGTTGGCATCATTGTCAGAAACGTTATTATCGGACGGCGGTAGTGCGAAGAACAGGTTGATGTCGCTGATGGTAAGGTTGGCAGAATCGAGACCGAGTTCTTCGACGTGCTTGGAGAGGCGGAGAAGACAAGGCATGTTCGATGAGCAGATCTTCGCCCCGCCCAGGTTCACCGAGCGGAGGGTCGAGGTTAGGCAGGGCAGGAGGGTGTCGACGTCCGTCTCGTCCAGGAGTTGGTGTCTAGAGCTATCAGTCATGACATTCAAGTAGATGAGTGAGTCCCTCACAGCTGGGTGTGTGGTCAAGAATTTCACCACCTCCGGTCCCGTGAGCTTCGTGCATCGCGAAATATTCAGGTGTGTGATGCGGGCAGTGTGTGGAATGGACATCAATGCAGAATTCGTAATCTGGGTGTGGCACACATCGAGATGGGTCACGTTGACTAGGCGCGGTAGGAAAACCTCGAACACGCGCGGAATGAGACCGCTACACTCGTGGAGAGACACCCGGCGGAGCGCTGGGAGGGTTGCGGGGAAATCAAAATCCTCAGTAACGGCACTGAGGAAGCCATTGGAGAAAATTGCAGATGAACACCCGCAGAAATCAACAGCGCGCAGGGACGGGGTTCGTGAGAGTAATTTTCGGAGTACGTCGACATTCACATCATCCTCGAGATGCTCTTGAAGCAGACACTCCTTTAGGTTTGTCAGCAACTCTAAGCACTCCAACAGGGTCTTGGACGTAAGGTTCTGAATCTCGACATTCATTTGCTGTGTGCGACCCAGCCCAACAGACGTGAAGTGGGAAAAGTCCAAGCGCCGGACAATGGTGCCTAAAGCGGGATACTGCTTGATGTGGTTCAGAGCCTTGGAGAAGATGATCGAGTGGGGTATGGTGATGTGTCGATAAAGGACACTAAGTGTCGCTGAGTGGAGTGTCCGAGAGGTCAAGAGGCACGAGACAAGGTCAATATTCCGTGGAGTGTAGCCATTAGGGGGGATATCGATAGCCAGATGGGAGATGATTTGATCTATTATAATTTGTTAATAACATACACCTATTCTAGGGGATTTAAATATGAGACAATGTAGAAACTATACCTAGGATCTCAGCGGGAAGTAATTCAATTGGCGCATGCCCCTTTCTGACAGTCTTCTTAGGTTCCTCTTGAACAGGGGTGATAGGACCCGAATCATTAACCTCCCAAGCAAAGCCCCTCGATTGGGCATTGCCTAACAAGCGAAGGTCACTGTAGCTCCTGCTCAGTCGCCGTCCACCTAAGCGGATGTGCTTCCATCCTAAAAAGGCACCGCAGGGGCAACAGAATTCAGGGGAATCGGAGGACTGCACTACAGCCTTGGCAGCAGCATTGCCCCCAGCTTTGGTGGTCTGTTTATTGGAGGAACTGTCCTCTGTATCAACGAATGACTGGGCAATTTCTACAGCCAGCAAACTTGGTTTAGTATACACCTGGGAGAATCGTAGCTGGTGTGGCAAAAGCTGGGGGTATATTACCTGTAGAGTCCTCCTTGATGGAGCCAAAAGAAGGGCGGCGAGAACTCTCGGAGCCAGAGGAGGGAGAGATATCTCTAGTATAGTTGACAGGTTTTTGAAAGTAATCCGGCTGGTGATGGGGTTGGTGCTGGCAATTGGCGGTGGGGAGAGCCTGGGAGCTCATTTCTCTAACGGGGGTTGTATGTAGTTTGGAGAGTTGTAGCAGATAGATGGATGTAGTGGCGAAGGATGACGGTCATTACATGCAGAATGAGGTGTATGGCCTTGGGAATTGGGATATTAGCGAGAAGTGTCTGGAGGAGAGGTAGGAAGAGAGGGAGAAAGAGAGGGAGAATTGAGGAGAAAGATGAGAATTGAGGAGACGAGGAGACGAGGTCAGGCGATGGCAACAACAACAACGAGGAGGAGGAGGACAAGAAGAGAGCTGTGGAGCTAAGGCCTGGGTTTGGGGTTGGAAATTACCCAGCAATACCGCCATACATACCAGCAGCAGTATCCTATTGGCCGCAATGTGGGGCGGGCCGCACTCGACGAATAATACAGTACGTACCGTCACGGACGATATTACGGTATGGGAAATTTGGGGAGCGGGGTCACGGGACACAGCAGGGATTTCTGTGGGCGTAATTTATTTTGCTGCTACGACAACTCGCATTGATTGGGGTCCAGCGGCCAGTCGCAGACGTTACTGTTAGTCACAGATTGCCCCTCCAGCGGAATCGGGGCGGAATATCCTCAGCAGCGGTATTACTTGACCGTATCCTGTCTGTTTTGGCTTGCGCGAAGACGGGGGGAGAGGGGGAGCGAGAAAACGGCTACCCCGGCGGATGTGTTGCTTGCGTACGATAGGCGCAGTTGATAGGAAGAGGGAGAGAATGAGTGTTTTGCAGGCAATAGTAACGATATATTGTGAGAACGAGTAAGGGTTGATTGATATCCGCAGCGAGTACGTAAGAATAGGCTTAGAGCTAGGGCAAGAGGGAGGCAGGACAGGAGATGGGTAGATATTAAGATTAATTAAATATTAGATTAGTGTAAGTAAGGGCTCTAAGGAGATGCCCAGTAGTTTGATGATAGTGAAGAGGAAGAAGAGGATGAACAGGAAGGATGAATTCGAAGCAGCGCAAAATAATGTCAAAAAAGAGTTTGGACAAAAATATTTTTATATTAGAGTTTTGTAGATGACTGGGCCGGGGAAAGTTCGCCTCTAGCTGCAACAAATGGCAGGGCGAGACTTCTTGGACATACATACGTATGTAAAAGTATATCTATCTATTCTTCGATTTTTTGAGGTCGGATGATATGAAATCATCCTTTGACGATTGTTACCATATTATCTATCGCCTTGTACAGTACAACTTCTGGTATAGTCTCTTGACATTCATTTCTGTCAGTGACCATAGCATATGGATTGATGTTGGGTTAATGATTGAAGGCTACGAATGCCATTCCCAGCTATCTGGATACCGGGAGCGGCTGGGCTAGAAAACTCAAAATTACAGAGAAATCATAAGAGTACATACCTCCACAGAAATATATTATGAATACGGAGCAACATAGGCTAGTGAACTATACCTGGCTTGGGTTTTCTGCATTATGCACGGCCTTCCTGGTCCCCTTCCCCTTAGCGGCGACACTTACTGCGTAATAAGACGCTACTAGGGCGTCGTATTGTTATTATTGTATGGAGTAATGAAGCAGAAAAAGGCCAAGCTTTCTCGCCCATGTTCAGCAGACACATCCATGTAACTCCACAGGCACTTGGGCCAAAAAGAAACCAGTGGAATATGTGCTCCTTAGCGGCTGATTGGCGGGCTTTCAGGATGTACCGCCAAGGAGCCCAGGTTCACTGATAGCGAACACCAGCGAAACAGAGGGAGGGTCGTAAGAATGAACTGATAGTCTGATACGCAGTAGTGTGGAGGGGAGGGGACATGGGCAAACGTCGATATTATTAGACCTTAACGCACTCCGTAGTCAGTCCAGAATTGGACTCCAGATAATATATCGAACCCGATAACCTCCAATGCCATCTTCCTTGCTCCACGTCAAAAAGACTTGATTGGAGCGACTTCGTGTCAACGAACACATAGGTAACGCACATCGAAACCCTACTCTGCGACGGAGATGCCTGCTAGAAACAGAACTTGGGAATGCGGTGGCGATAAAGCGCGCGAAAGAAACTCCATTCTCCGTCGACGGGTGGTGTTGTTAGTGGTTTGCTCTCTCGCCTCAGCATCTAGATATCTCTTAGTTGGTTTCTCTTTTGCTGTGCTGTGATGTTTTAGTGACCTCTCTCATGTTTATCTTCTGCCTGCGTCTTTTTCAAATTGTTAGGCATTAAAAATATCATGTTGATCTCGAGTGACACTAAATACCACAGTCCCCTCTAACGATATGACAACAATCGGAGCTCCCTAAATCAAAAATGTTAACTAATGTTTTACCGAGCTAGTGCCCAGCTTCTGCCTCTTTCTCTCCATGAATACGGCTGTGAACGGAGCTTTCTATTGATCATACCTGTGCCGCCATTGCTGACTGACTGTCATACCCTTGCTTGGGGTGCATAGCGTGTCAACAGATTCTAACTAAAATCCCTGTATTGAGGGAGAGCAGTTAGCTTAGAGAGTTTGGCTCTGATATCCGCCTGTAATTCATGGTTAAGAAAATGACCCATTGGGTTTGGCGGTTGGGGAGGGAAGTTCAAGGGAGGAAGGTCTTGGTAGAGAGGTTTTACTCAGCGTATATCCGGTCTACCTCTTTTTGATGGATCGATATATATCGGCATAACTCGACATGCTAGCCCGGTTGGGACATGTTTCATTTCCCATTCCTTTGCGCAAAAGAGTTGCCTCGGAAAAGTGATTAACCTCAGAAAAGGTGTATGCATAGTGACTATGTGGTGGTACATGTTAGCAAATTTTAATCTGTAAGATCTTTGACAAACGGACTCAAAGGAGTGACATCTCAGACTGACATGATCAATGCTAAGCTGCTGTAAAAAGCCAGTGTTTTAGTTTTGCATTCAACAACATCTCAGTCTAGTTAATGAATTGTATACTTACAGCAAATCAGACTCTCATGATGTTTTCATGTTAAAAAGCTTGAACATAATAAAAAAAATTTGACTTAGTTTTTTAACATCATATTTAACTTTAGCATTCTTGATAGATCAACAGAACTTTCACAGCTCAGACTAATCTATGCTACTTATAGTTATAAGATCTTGAGTCTTCTAAGAAAATATACTATCAAGTTGAGGCATGCATACATATTTTGAGTCAAAAAATAGTTCTTATTACATCTGGTCTTCTAAATGAGATGGAAGACAGACATCTCTATATATCTACATGTGTGTGCGTTTACAATAACAGTGGCTTGGGTGGAAGAAGCATTTGCAGGAGCAGAAGGAGCTATTATAAGTAAATAGAGATGATATATTAAATATATCAAGTGCAAGTACTTTTAATGAAATACTATTATTATGAGTCTAATTAAAATTGAATCAAAATCACACTGAGCTTTTTTTCAGTTTAGCACCCTAAAGAAGTTCTTTGGCTACATTAACTACATAATCCAGCCAGCGGCCTTGTCGCTTCTTGCATTTCAGGGACAACGCAGTTCATCCATCGAATATCAAGTTCGAAACTTCCAAAGGTGACGAGTCAATCGATGGCGCTTCAACAACTTTATCTTCGTTACTGCAATTATGCCGAGAACGCGCCGTCTCCTGCGTGAGGAGATCACATACTCAGTTGCGAAAGAGCGGGAGGTCAATGTCCTACACCAATTGGGCTCCATGACCAACAAAATCGGTTCTTCAGCTACCTATATAACAAACGCGTCTGGATGAAAGGAGTTGTTGTTCATCGTCTGGGTTTAAGATCCATTGAAGTATGCCATGTGACAGACATGAAGAATTGGTTTGTGGCAGCTTCAACGTTTGCATTCTAGTTACCATTGATACCTGGAAGGACAGGCAACAACAAGGTCAACGTGTTCTCCTTCGCTTCCCGCTTCCATACCGTGTTGGAGAAGACTTCCGACCTGGAAATGGGGATGAAAAGATACGATGCGAGGCCGGTGCCTATGCATGGCTTGAAGAAACTGACCAGATGTGCCAATTCCACGATTGTATGTTTTTGCGATGTCAACTGGCGAAACTGTTTGAATATTGAAGGTTCTTCTTGTCAGTGGTGGTATGTTCAACTAATTGGCCGATGCAGTTCACTCGAATTGATAACCTACCCTTTATAAACCGATGCTTTCGATATTTACATCGCCGACTGTTGTCATTTTTTGGCCTTCCAGTGCCTTCACGCTATTACCGCCATTCAAACAGAACCCAAACTTCTCAAGATGGTGTCATGGGTGCGGGATATCTGCTAATCGAGTGCATTGACCAAGATGGAGAGACAATGCTCTCAAACACTTGGTTGGAGAAGCAGAATGACATCAAATTACGGACCAATCTTTTCCGAGATCTCTCACGGATCTTGTTGAGCCTTAAATAGCCAAATACCCTTGCCACACATTGGCTCCTTCATCATTGACTACAATGGATTCTTGCGTTTAAGTAATCGCCCCCTTTCAATTGAGATCCAGCAGTTGGAGAATGAGAAAATCCCAACCCATATCCCTCGTGATTACACCTATTCTACTGTCGAGTCCTATGTGATGGACATGCTCGCCATCCATGACAGTCAGCTCCAAAATCAACCTAATGCAGTGAACAATCTAGAGGATTGTGCCTCTCAAATGTCTGCACTGGCGGCAATGCGAACAATATTTCCATTGTTTTTCCAGCAAAAGTTCCGCCGTGGACCTTTCACATTTACATTGACGGATTTGCATCAAAGCAATATATTTGTTGATGATAACTGGCACATCTCACGTCTGGTCGATCTTGAATGGGCATGTTCTAGGCCAATTGAAATGGTCGAAATGCCTTACTGGTTGACAAACAAGGGCGTGGATGAGATTGACGCAGAAGAATATAATACCATTCGAATGGAACTAATGGCCGCTCTGGAGACCGAGGAAACAAAACGATCCAGCTCTGCTGGTTTAGCTGACATTGGGAGATCAATACCGGGACTACCAGCTACCATGGAACAGGTATGGGCGTCGGGAACTTTCTCGCGCTCTCCAGTCCCACAGGCCTCTTCAGAATATTCTACAACCATATCCTCCCCTTGCTATCCCATCATCTTTCTGAGGAAATCGGGGAGGTCATGCCCCTTTTATGGGTGAAGGATGTAGGGAAGTTTGTTGCGAACAAAATCTCACATAAGAAGAGATATGACCAAGACCTCCGGACGGCTTTCGAGGACCATAACTAACAGTAGGCTATCTACTGGCGATACATGATAAAAAAGATTTAATACTCTGGTGCTCTTATCTAGCTCCGAAAATCCTCCTCACAAAAGATTGTGCAACAAATATATGGTTTGGTTACTGGAGGTGAAGCTTCCTATGATGTTACCATACTCGCTGATTTTTACTTTCTCCCCTTATCATGTCCTCCGCCTTCCTCCCCTTCTTTTCCGAAATATTTATCAACTGCTTCACCCACAGCCCTAAAACCCTTCTTTGCCTGGTTTATATCCCTCTTCCGTTGAGCTGCTCTGCCCGAGGAACTGAGTTGTTGAAGCGCCCTTACATCTGCCTTTACCCTCACAGTTGCTTCTTCGATAGTTGCAGCTTCATCAGAGCTACGTCGATCGGCATTGTCGGAATCTTGTCCGTCGGGCATCTTAAAAGACTCATTCGGCCCAGATCTGAACAGAGATTAGAATATTTTAACGTAGATATATTTATTTCTTGTAATCGTGCCGAACTTTGCGATTAGAAAGGATATGAACCGTAGATATCAAGTGGGAGTAGTTGGGCCTGGGTTAGAAGGATTTTGACTAGCTAACTACCTATGAGTGCGATGGACATGGGACCATGCGAATGCCCATTGATCCTCCACTATCCTCCGGATTTGGTCGACATTAATAAAAACGCTGGAAACGGACGAAAATTGACATGGGATTGCGAACTTCGATCCTCGCGAAATGCATTGTTTAGTCCTTGCAGCACCAGCGCCATACGTGGCATTCGGAATTTGGTTGACATTTGCTGCATTCATTGGGATGGCCTCTGCCATTATCCTCAGGTGGCTACTCGGACCCTTCCGTCTGCAAATATTGACCTCATTCCGGCGAGGTACGAATTCTATGACGAGCAATATCTGCACAAGTCTTGCTGGATACCGTCACCATTCTCCTTTGCAAATTTATACACACAATATTACAGGTCCACGAGTCAGTGCCAGTGCATATCACGCTTTTAAGGACAAGGGCCCAGGTCAAAAAATCAGTCAGGATGCAGACAAAGTAGTTGGACCTCATGTAACTTGGAGTGTCTTCCAAGAAGACGCCGAAGACGAGTGCTGGCCAATCCCCTGCATCATTCAATCATTCAGGCTGTATATGGATTCTGTTGCCCTTCACGTCCCCTAGCCTTGAAATGTACACCCGAGGACCTGGTTGCGAACCCATTTTGCCAACACGGCATCTATTCTACTAGATAACTTGTGTTTAACTATGGCATAAACACATATAGCGTGTTGTTATAAGTGTGGTCGGACTCAATTTTCTGGTAGCAGCTTCGAAGCACTGCATGGTGCTTTCTGATCTAAGAACAAGACTTAACAGATACTCCTGTCTTACCTGGTTTGAAAGTATTGAGACTACATTGTCACAAGCCAGAACTCGGATTAACTGTTGCAAGGGTATGAATTATAAATTGGCGAATGGAATGTAATTTCTCCTGAAGTTTGGAAGGGGTTTGATTTCCAGCGAAATTCACGAAATTTTTGTAAAGGGCAGCAAGTAGAGGGTAAGAAGGTAGAGAGTAAAACCATAAGCATCTCATCAAGAGCTACAGCTCTCATGAAAATAGGTTGCTAATGACATGCCATGCCGTACGGTTGATACATTCATATCATGACTGAGCAAAAAAGGAAATACATTGAAATACACCCAACCGTCCATAATCAGATCATAGCCCCAATACCCAAAATGAAAAGAGTTGAGAACAACGAGACAAAGAGGGAAATAAAATGGAAAGATGAAAAGGATAAAAGGAAGAAAATGACAGAAAATTCTTTTAGGGACCTGATTCCAATATAAAAACCGTTTTCTCCAGTCCTTTTTTTTTTAATCAGCTCCGACTACTCAATAGCCGAAACATTGCCCTCCCCATTGAGAGCAGATTTAACCTTCTCGTTCCCGCTCCACCGAAGCTTGAACTCGTGGCCTAACTCCTTGCGCACAGTAGCTTGCACCGCATCCAGCACGGTATCAAACACGCCAAAGTTGGCTGGACTGTTCTCGTCATTGCCCTTACCCTTGAACACACCGGTCCGGACCAGGCAGGTGTTCCATCCATACATGTTCCCACCAATGATGTCAGAGGCCGGGTTGTCACCAATCATGTAGATGTTTTCAGGAAGGATGTGCTCATTGTGGATTTCCTTCATCCACGACATGATGACTTCATCTGCGTACTTGTAGGTTGCCAGTTCGGGCTTGCCGTAGACCACTCGTTCGAGATCTCCGCCGGTCAGTGACTTGTACATCGTTTCCAGAGCCATGCGGAAGAGACCCTGGGTCATTCGGGGAAGCTTGTGGTCTGCTTGGAAGATGATATCGCCCTGTGAGAAGTAGATGGGCATCTGTTTGGCGAGTGGGTCCTTGGCCTTGGTCCGCAGGCGGCCGTTCTCACTAAGGAGCAAGTCCATGATTATCTGGAAATCGGTGGCATAGTCACGCGAGTCGGCGAAGACGAGGATAGCATCGAATGTTACGTTGTCGAAGTCTTGGGGTCTGGCCTGTTTGCGGTCCTCCTCGGTAAAGTTCCTCCAGGGGGAGATGCTGGGGTCCCAGGCGACGATGTCCTTAGGGACGACGACATTCTTAAAGCCGTACGCCTCTGCGGCAGCACGGGTTGTGAAACCCTCGCCGCCAACAACTAGGACGGTCTCATAGTATTCGGCAAGAGCCTGCATGGGAGTGTGGGATTGAATGAACTGTGCAGTAGAGATGGGGGAGCCGAGGATGCGAGATATTTGCTCTACGCGGTCTACTTCGGTCTTACCGCCGCCATTTGTGAGCAGGATATAGGGGATTTTAATTCCGAGCTCGTTATCACCATTGAGAAGCTCCATTACGCGGCGGGACTCGGGAATGATTTTGTCACCGTGGAGAAGCACACCGTCGATGTCGAAGGCAAAAGCCATATTCTTAGCCGCCTTAACCTTTTCCTTGGAGAGATCCTGGACTTGGGAAGCGAGGATGTCTCGCAAGGCACCAGGGACATCTGGACCCAGGGATGCTCTTGAAGCTCGGGGTGATCTGGGAATTGGGAGGGAGGTGCCAAAGGAGTTTCGGGACGCTCTCCTAAACTTCATCGATGGCGATATGCTCAGATTGTGTATGAGATGACCTGCATCACTGATTGAGCTCCTCGATGCGGGAACCTCGATGGCATTGCCACTCTGAAGATTGGATGGGATTGGGATGTCTTTGTAATCTTTCTTTTGGTTGCTCTCGCCCTTTGGCACCTCCTTGGGCGAGAGCATGAGATCAGTGTCAGGAATCAGAGACATATTTGCGGGTATCGAGGAAATTTGTATCGAAGTGGGATATCTTATGTATATATATATGTGTATATACGCCAAAAAGAGTCCTGCTTTTGGGAGAAAAGAGAGTGTAGATAAAAGGGGAGGGTGATAGTGAGTAAAAAAGAACCAAGAGTCCAAATAACCCTGCGACCCATGACTTTTATACATGCATATATTTATCGTTAGATAGCTGCCGGGAGGCAACACATCATCAACGCCTGAAGTTCCAGTGCAACATAATCAAACTTCACCGAGTAACATGCACTTGTCGAAGCAGAAGGATCCACCTCTAGCCCCCTTCATCCTCCCTAATTATTATCGCGCTACCCAGGAAGCAGAGAGGTTATTCGCTGGGATCCCCTCGGAGAAAAAGAGGATCTGCAGGAAGACCGGAATTGGAAGGCGGATGGAATTGAAAACTAATTAAGTTGAACTAACATTATTCTCCCGAGTAGTTTCATAAATCCAATATATTTCCATTATCAGTACTGGCCATATAACATCCAGCCGGTAGGAACTTGGGAAGACTGATCTTAGCCACCGGTGGCTAACAAGTGTCCCCTGAAGGCCCGATCAAACAGAGTAGCTATAGTCATCGCTAGGAGCTTCTGACGTCGAAGTGGCGACGCTGAAACGAGCTACAGGAGTCAATCCTGACAAGAGGCTCCGCTCCTTGCGGATATGCCTGGAAGGATTAGTTGCGGGCGGAGCTGCGGAAGCGGCTCCCTCCAAGCGTCTATTCAGAGATGGTATAATTGTTGCAGTAAGAATTGACGTCTTATGTACATGTACATTATTATTTTGGGTAGTAGTTTTGTGGAGCTGTCGTATCCTCGCGGGAGGCTCAGAGGTGGAGGTTAAAATGGAGCCAGGGCCAAAGCCCTAATATTGCCCAATGCGGTCGTGGCACCGCTAAGACGCGCCCTTGTGGATAACTCAGCGGATCAATGGGAACGCGCTAGCCGTATTGGCTGATAAACGCCATGGTCTAATCCTTTCCAACTATGACCTCATCCTGCTCCACGTGGTGAAAACTTTATACTCTAGCGTTGGAGCTTAAGTTGAAGTGCGCCCCACTTACCACAAGAAGATGCTGTGAAATTAGATGTGTGATAAGGACTACGGCAAGATAAATTCTGTGGTGGGATAGCGATTCTGCCAAGAGTCAGGGATGGAGGACAAGTATGGAGGTGCTTGTGGGGAATTGCCGTGTTCAGGTAAGATTATTTTAAACGATAAAAACATACTGCCCAAATAATCTTGGTGGAAAGATATACAACTTCAATGACGATTACCTGTGCAATTGGTTTCCTCTGGGCTACCTGGTAATACTGAGCAAAACACACACTCTGTCTGTCTGTCACTCTCGCTCTGCGTTAGATTTTACTTGTTAGGATGGAACATAAGTATCTAGGTAAAATATATTATTATTACTGAGCTGGCTTACAAGTATACTGTCCGCAGTGATCGCAGCGGTCAGAACGGTCAGGCAATTGTGGAGCTGTTTCCGCAGGGCCAAGACGACCGCATGCGGGACTCGAGCTTCTGTTTGCAGGCTGCATGCATAACTATACATTTTGAATAATAGTGCCAATCCTAGCAAGGAAGGCATTGGAAAGACATCTTCGAAGAATTGGAGACGCTACCCTGCACCATGGGGCCCAACGTTTCGAAAATGCTCAGAAATATTCCACTGCGTAGAATAAAAAAATGCCTTCTTGGTATCAAACCCAGTGCAGGAGGACATCCACAATAATACTTGTTCCCAAGCCCACTCAATGTCGCCAAAATTGCCCAGTCCTTTTAACTCCCCGGCTCGACGTCATTGGCTCCAGTAGCGGTTTTACGACGTGGGATGAGATAGTTCTTGTGTTGCAAAATTGAATTGTGGGAATAATGCGGCAAACGCATCAACGATTCTTGAAGATGGCCAACGTGAGAGAGGTGAAGCACAACTCTTATTAGCAGAGATAACAAGAAGATAAAGTGAATGTCATTTTGCCTAAATCCACAAGACGCATCAATTTGACACTGCTACAGAATTGATAATTATCATAACTGCACGTTATAATAATTTTGCTCCTGCTTCAATCACGCATATAATTCCGCGTCCCACTTTCTCGCATCTTTCCCGCTAAAGAGCAGCGATTGATTCCCATCCGCACAGCCATTTTACCCCGGCCCCCCTTTTTATTGTTTTATTCAAGATCCCACGCAGGCACGAAGAGACTGCTTCCGCATATTCGTACTGATAGAAAGAAGGAAAAAGAGGCTTCAATAGACAGAAAGGAAGAACGAAAACCAAACAGAAAAAAAAGGAACAGACAGCTAGAAACGAACATGTCTCTCGATATCAAGTTTAAATTGAGCAATGGCGTCACCATTCCTGGCCTGGGATTTGGTACCTTTGCCAACGAAGGCGCCAAAGGCGAGAGTTACGCAGCTGTGCTTCACGCTCTCAGAACTGGTTACAGACATCTGGACTGTGCCTGGTTCTATCTCAACGAGGATGAGGTCGGACAGGCTATCCATGACTTCCTAAAGGAAAACACCAATGTCAAAAGATCCGATATCTTCGTCACCACAAAGGTCTGGAACCACCTGCACGAGAAAGATGAGGTAGAATGGTCCCTCAACGACTCACTCAAAAGGTTGAAACTGGACTATGTTGACCTGTTCCTGATTCACTGGCCAATTGCTTGCGAAAGCAATGAGAAGGGTCTGCCCAAGATTGGCCCTGATGGAAAAGTGAGTTTTAGAGATACTTTAAGCCCTGTCTCTAAACAGAACTGCCCTCCTCATCCCCGAAAACATGGAGAGGAACGAAAAACTCAACAATCAAGAAAGAGAGACTAACAACGGTAATCTTCAATTCACACAGTATGTAATCAAACGCAACTTAACCAACAACCCGGAACCAACCTGGCGAGGCATGGAAGCCGTCTACAAAGCCGGCAAAGCCCGCGCCATCGGCCTCTCCAACTTCACAATCCGCGGCATGGAACAGATCCTCTCCTTCGCTGAGATCCCACCGCACGTCAACCAGGTCGAAATTCACCCCTTCCTCCCTAACACCGAGCTCATCAACTACTGCTTCGCACACAATATCCTGCCCGAGGCATATTCACCTCTCGGCTCCCAGAACCAGGTGCCAACGACTGGTGAGAAGGTGGCTACGAACCCAACGCTCAATGCCATTGCCAAAGAAGGTGGGCACACGCTCGCCCAGGTGCTGATTGCGTGGGGTCTACGGAGGGGCTATGTTGTGTTGCCCAAGTCTTCGAATCCCGGCCGAATTGAGAGTAACTTCCAGGAAATTGGGTTGACTGATGAGCAGTTTGAGGCTGTGAATAAAGTGGCAGAGGGGAGACATGTACGGTTTGTGAACATGAAGGATACATTTGGATATGATGTGTGGCCTGAGGAAAGTGGCGGTGAGCTTCTGGGTAACGGGAAGGCGGAGTGAGTGGGTGTGTATGTTCTGTTTTGCTCTTAGAGATTGTGCTCTTTTTCCGCTGAAGGGGATTCAGTTTGTTGTATTGGTCAGGATCTAACCTGTGCATTTTCGTTGTGAAGTATTAGAGGACCTATTGTTCGGAGCAAGCTCTCGTAGGATAAAGTATTTATGCTTCATGTTCATCGAGCACTTTTGGGAATCTGGTCGATTTTGGTGGAAAATATTGCCAAAACCGTCGTTCATAATAATAGATCAAGGAAAAAGAAATTTCATATATAATATCCATGCCCGTAACGCCCGAATGCCAACAAGTAATAAAGTAACAACCAATGCAATTCAGAATAAAACAGAAAAGCGCGCAATTTGGTATCTCGAAGTGTAGGCCAAAAAGACAAGTACGGCAAAACACTAAACACAGCTGAGAAACAGCAACAAAAAAATAAAAAGAGCCCAACATGAGCGTGTCACTCCCACTACATCGACTGCTATACCTTCGTTCTCCCTGTATGCCTTGGTAGACACGAGCCACCGAATTTCCTAGCCGCGGCACGTGTAGTGGGAGCAGAGCTCCTGCTGGCCGTAGCCGTGGCCGTGCTGGTCTTCGGATCCGAAACCTTAAACAGAAGCGCCTTCGGAGATTTCGGGGCAAGTTTCTTTCTTTGAATCGGCGTCCCTGGATGCGATGATGCAATTGTTGCGGTGCCCCTCGTAGTAGCAGTGGTACTGGCTACGGCCAAACCACTATTATTGTGGTTAGTGCTGCGGGAATCACTGAATCCTAGCCTCGGTACCCTCCTCGTCGCCGTTGGTGATTTCGCCGGCTGCGGATCGGAGTGGGTCGAAGCGGGTGGTTTGGCAGGCTCATCCTTCCTCTTCTTTCTCTCTCGTTTGGCTACATGTGATATGGCGGGTTTCTGGGAAGAGTTCCCCTCGCTAATTTCCCAATCGTGTTCATCGTTATTGAATAGCTCTCCCTCGTATCGAACAAGATGTTCCTCGTCCCACTTCACTTTCTTGACAATCCGTATCCGCTTGCGGCGGGACTTCTTCGGCGAAACAGGATCACCTGTCTCCTCATTGTTAACACCAAAAGGTTCGTATTCTTGTGAATTGATCGCTTGAAGTACAAAACAGGGGAACTGAGCATCGCCTTTATTACGCCTGGTGTTGGCCTTGGTCGTTAGAGATAGCTGTTGTTCCTCTGAACGTTGTAAAAATACGAACTCGGTACCGTTGGAACGGCGAACAGGGATATGATTCGGTACAGTAGGTGTATACCGTTGGGTTCTTGGAATAATTTTGCGGGTGCTTCTTCGCCATGGAGTACCTGCTCTCGGCTGTTGCAGGTCTTCTTCTGTTTCACCGCGGATTCTTTGGGCTTGTTCTTCGTTCTCAATCTCTAGTTCGTGATCAATTGCTGGAGGCGGTTTCGGGGAGGGTGATCTTGGAACCTGTCTCACTTTCGAAGGCGATACTTGTTGCCTTGGAGATGAAGGGGAATTTTTATCCAAGTCTTCCAAAACCCTTCGCGCGCGCGCGCTTGGTGTGGGAGATCGGGTCGGCCCTTCCCAGCCAGCGTTTTCCGATTCTTTGCTCGGCAAGGTAGATTTAGCGGCGGCCCGCTTGGCTTGCGCCTGGGATAAGAAGTCAGTTATGAAGTCGGCGTCATCGCCTTCTAGGGTTGGAAACAATAATCGGCTCGGGGGTATTGCCAAGGGCGCTACTGCTTCCTCAGCCACTTTCTCGATCTTTGCCGTAGTGAGGAATGCATTTTCTGCATCGAGTAATAAGTCTGGTGCAACCTGATCGCCAGACTCAAGATTTTCTCGATCCAGCGTGCCGGTTGATTCTCGCATAGTCGAAGGATAAATGTTTCGGTCCTGCTCTCCAAGTCTAACGGGATCTTCAGGATCCCACAATTCATTTACATGAGGTTGGCGTGAGGCTACAGATGTGCTCTCATGCTGTACAGCTAACAAATCCAAGCCAAAGTAGTTTTGATTCACGAATTTCTGCTCTTCAACGCACTCGTGGTCGTCAAGGTGCTTGTTCTGTCTGATGTCATCGGCATCGGGAACGATACATGGGTCTTCGATGATCTCCCTCCTGCAAACTTCCATTTGTGGGACGCATTTTCCTGTTATTATGTTAACTAGAACCTCCGCAGAAGCCTAGCACGGGCAGCGACAAGGTATGAATAAGAAATAGAACAATCCTCACGTTTCCGGGAACCCATATCTTCCATCTCCCATTTTGTTTCCAGAAAGGACCTTCCTCGTTCCACCCCAACACAAGCTGCAGTGCAACGTCTTTTGACTCCTCGTAAAACACCTCGGAGCGTAGATGATTCGTTGATCTCAGTAAGAAATGCGTCGTG